TCCTTCTCCTTCTTTATATTTCTTTGAGCTAAAAATGAGCTTATGAGTACAGTTGGGATATAAATGACCATAAAATATATACAAACTCTTTGGTAGAGAGAAGAGAAACAGATCTTGGTGATTGAACTGGGAGCTAAGATCCTGTATACTGAGGGCAGGGTATAGTCTCCATTCCCTCGGAGAGGAGCCTTATAGGTCAGGGCAAGGTTTAGATTGTATAATTCAACTTTGTCAGATAAAATGAACCGCCTTTTTTTTTTTTTTTTAAACTAGTTGGCTTTCCCCATAAGCAATGAACATATTGTATTATAAAACAAAATAATTCTTTTGATAACTGGCCTGACATAGTTTTTGGCCCTGGGCAAGGGGTTTCTCCTAGACTAATTTCTTTGTATTCCATTACACAAACGATTGATTGCTGGGTGCCTGCTTTGTATGCTTGTATGTTCTGGGTCTGAAAGAGAGAGTGATGAGGAGTCAGTATGTGGATTATTGGAAAGATCCACCCAGTCAGAAGACCTAAGTTTGAGTCCCCATCTCTGCTATTGAGTACTTTTGTAACCTAGGAAGTTATTTAACCTCTCTAAGCATTGGTTTCCTTATTTATCCAATGAGGATAATAATGCTCATACAGTTGTTTTTAGAATTGTATGTGTGTGGAAGCACTTTGTAACTGTTCTGCCAATTGCCACCTGTGTGGTTTTGGGTGGGCCTCAGTTTCCTTATCTGTAAAATGAGGGGGTTGGATGAGAAGCTCTCTCAAGCCCCTTCTAGCTCTAAATCTATGATCCTAACCATCATACATTATGTAAATATAAGCTGTGATATATGTTCACCCCCTTTATTTGTTTTCTTCATCTCACTTGGTCAGGAGTTCTTAATTAGACCCCTTTGACAGTCTGATCAAGCCTATGGCCTCCTTCTCAGAATAATTTTTTTTGGGAAGGAAATGCTAAATTTCATCCAGGGGAAAATAAAGATGTCATTTTCTTTCTTCCCATCCAAATTCGTAGACCCACCAAAATCTGTCCATGGACTGTGGATCCCAGAACCTCTGCTCTAAATGATGCAAGCAAGCTTCTGGCTAGAAGTAATGGTGAGCTGGGAACTGGCCGAGAATGCCTATTCCAGTACTGGTAATGCTCTCCTGAATACAGCAACTACCCAATTTTGTAATGGTTCTGACCTAGTTGTTTACTGCTTCACTTGGGGGCCCCTTCAAACACGTCCATAGTTTGGAGAAGACCTGGTTGGAGTCCCAGTTCTGTCATTGACTAACTGTATGACCTTGACTTAACTTTCTTTAGCCTTAATTTCATCAACTGTAAGATGGGGACAGTAGAATAATACTTACATTGGCTGCCTCATAAAGTTGCTGTAAAGAATGGATGTAAAGTATTTTGTAAACTATAACGCTTTCATGAAGATCAGTGACTGCTAATGTTTTTTGTACCTCACCTGTGATTTCAAAGACATAAGGACCTCTCTCAGTGGGGAATTTCCTCTCCCAATGCAGAGCAGTACCTGCTTGGCCACTGCTATCCTTAGACATTTAGGGGCAACTAGGTTGGTGCAGTCATTAGAGCTCTGGGCCTAGTTCAGATCTGACCTCTGATACTTCCTAACTGTGTGACCCTGGAAAAGTCACTTAACCCTGTTTGCCTCAGTTTCCTCATCTGTAAAATAAGCTGGAGAAGGAAATGACAAACTCCTCCAGTATCTTTGCCAAAAAAGCCCCAAATGGGGTCACAAAATGTCAGGCACAACTGAAATGAATCAGCAATTCTTAGAGCTGCCTGGAGGATTGAGAGGTTAAGTGACTGTCCTAGAATCACACAGCTGGCATATGTCCATCAGGACTCTGAGGCCAAGTCTATCTACTGCTATCCACTGCCTTTCATTATAATGGCCAGTAATAATAATAATAACCATTATTGTTATTATATATATTCTTTTCCTCAGTGCCTAAGCTTGTCCTTCAGTATCCTATTGAATACTGGTATAGAGGGACTCAATCAGTCAACTAGCATTTATTTATTTATCTATCTATCTGTCTATTTATTTGTTTGTTTGTTTGTTTATTTATTTTAGGCAATTGGGGTTAAGTGACTTGCCCAGGGTCACACAGGTAGTAAGTGTCAAGTGTTTTGACGGATTTGAACTCAGGTCTTCTTGACTTCAGGGCCAGTGCTCTATCCACTGCATCACCAAGCTGCCCCCAACTAGCATTTATTAAGTGCCTACTGTCTACTGAGCACTGTGTTAAGCTCTGGGTTTACAAAGAAAGGCAAAAAAAAAACCCCAAATAACCAATCCTAGCTCTCAAGGAGTCTAATGGGGGTGACTTTATGAAAATAGCTATACAAAACCTATATACAGGATAAATTGGGGATAGTTTCAGAGGGAAGGCACTAAGGAGGCAGTGGCATGAGTTTACATTGTGAGGCCCATTCCAGCCTGGCATCCTTGGAAATGTCCCTACTGGGGCAGCTAGATGGCGCAGTGGAGAGAGTACCAACCCTGAAGTCAGGAGGACCTGAGTTCAAATCCGGCCTCAGACCAAACACTTGACACTTACTAGCTGTGTGACCCTGGACAAGTCACTTAACCCCAATTGCCCAAAAAAAGAAAGAAAGAAAGAAAGAAAGGGAATGGCCTTACAATGTATCCTGGAGCTCTGAAGGAGATGCTGGGGTATTAGTTCCTTTTCTAGGCCAAAGTCCATCTAGTGAGTCTAGATCTGCAGCAAGCTGCACAAGGGGTCATCTTGATAGCTGGATGCCAAGTACAGACTCTCCCAGTCCCCGCTGCCCCTGAAGGAATCTTGAACAATAAATCTGACGCTCCAGTGTTTTGGTGTTGTTGAGCTCCCTGTGTTCTTTTCAGAAAAAAATTGGTTTCCTTCCTTCTTCCCGTGTTTCTCCCACTGCCTTCCCTCCAAACAGTTTTTCTTTCCTCACTAGTTGAACCTCTTTGTTTCAAACTTACAAAAAAAAGTTGTTTCTTGTAATCAGGATCTTCTTTGATATTTCTCAGCTCGAGGTGGCTTGGTTTCCTTTTAGGAAGGGCCTTTTGGGGGCCACTTAATGACAAGGGAAGATGGAGTGGAATATGTATGTCTGTGTCTGGCTGTGCCCCGAGGGCTCATGTGAGGGCTGTGTGCATATTTCACAATTCCCATTCCGTGTTTGTCACATAATGCTGCTGGTGCAGTGGGGTTCAGATGGTTCCTGGATGATTTAGTCTGGTTTCCAGGCTCCCTTCAGGCCCCACCCTCCAGGGATGGTGGGGCTAGGTAGATGGAACTCTGAGTCAGAATCTTAAGAAGAAGCGTGAATAACAAATGTAGAATGGTAGAACTGGATGAGGCCTAGCCCAGTGCCTTCATTTTGCATGTGGGGAAATGGACACTCAGGTACAGATATTCCTATCATGCCATAGGTAGTCTGTGGCTGAACCAGGATGAGGATCATAGGATTTAGAACTGGAAAGAATGTTAGAAATCATCTGGTGCATCCTTCTCATTTTACCAATGGCCACCAAGACTCCCAGGCTCTAGATACACACTCCCAATATTCTTCCCACTGCACCAGATTCCTTCCCATGGTGGCAAATTAAGTGTCCAGCCTCAATTTATTAGCAACAAACACTAAGGAGATCCACCACAAATATTGTCATCTATCAAGAAAGCAGCATAGCTCAGTGGAAAAAGTCTTGGATTTGGAGTCAGAGGACTTAAATTCAAATCCTGGCTCTGTCATTTACTGGCTTTGCGAGTAGGCAAGCCATTTCAGTTTTCTGGGCCTCAGTTTCTTCATGTGTGAAAAAAAAGAGAGATTGGTCTAGATGGCCTGTAAAGTCCCTTCGAGTTCTAAATATATGATCTTATGATCCTAGGATGCAGTGAGTTTGATGCACAAACTAGGCCCTGGGAGTTTCTCTCTCACTTGAAGGTCTACCTTTGGATAGGCTCCCGAGGGGATTATGGTAGGAGGACTTTGGCTTTGTAGTACCCTAACTACCAACTTTGGTGTCTGGATTCCATCGGTGTGGGAACTCCCTCCACAACTTCTCACCTGGTGTATACATTTCTTTTCCATATTGTCCCATAAATCCTCCCATAAATCTATCTAATATGATGAAGTCAGTCAACTAGCATTATGCTCCTACTATGTGCCAGAGACTCTGCTAGTCACTAGAGATACAAAGACTAAAATGAGACTGTTCCTGTCTTTAAGGAGCTTATACTCTTATTGACCTTCCTCTTGTTCTTTTAATATCTTGGAAGGAACCAGTATAATGAACGTAGTAGGTGCTTTATCTTCTGGTTCTCCTTGGGTTATCCTTGCCCTTGATAATGTTATCTGTTGCCACTTTTTCTTCCGTAGCATCATAGATTTAGTGCTGCTAGCAAGGGAACTTAGAGGTCATCTAGTCTGACCTTTTCATTTTGCAGATGAGAAAACTGAGGCCCAGATTGTTCTTGGTAACATGCTGCACCAAATTTATGCTCCACCGTGTGTCTTTCCATTTCCTTTTGGGTTATGTGCAGTTTTACTGCTGGGATCATGGTGTTCCATGATGAAGTCTTGCCACATACAACATCCCTGGAAGACTATTAGTGTTAAAAAGACGGGTTCTTATGGTAGCAGGCACTTTGCGAATCATTGAAAACATGGCACGGTTTATATCTTTGCCAGCATTAATATATCTCTTTTAAGTTTTGCAAAGCACCTTATAAATGTTACCTTTTATCCTTACAACAACCCTGGGATGTAGGTGCTATTATTATTACCCCTTTTAATTCCAGTGCTTTCTCTCTTTTAATTATTTCCTATTGATCCTGTATATATTTGTTTGTATATTGTCTCCTCCATTAGATTGTAAACTCCTTGAGGGCAGGGATTGTTGTTTGCCTCTTTATATTCTCAGCACTTACCACAGTATCTGGCACATAGTAGGTGCCTAATGAATGTATATTGATTATCCTCTTCTTACAGATGAGGAAACAGAGGCGGAAGGAGGTTAAGTCACTTGCTCAGAACCATACAACTGGTAAGTGTGCTTACTAGTACAGAGGCTGGATTTGAACTTGGGTCTTCCAGACTTCAGATCTGGGACTCTCCTTACTCATTGCACCTGAGAGGTATAAATATAGCAGGCTGCCCAAGTAATGGAGTCAAAGGACCTGGGTTCAAGTCTCAGCTCTTATCACTTACTACTGATATGCTCTTGGCCAAGTCCCTTTACCTCTTTGTGCCTCTGTTTCCTTATCTGTAAAATAAGAAGTTTGGTTGGACTAGCTGACCTCTCGAGTCCCTTCCAGCTCTAAATCTGACCCTATAGTCTGTCCATACATTGGCTCTTGTGAAGCTCAGTAAGCAGTTTAGGGCCTTGCCCTGTTGATCCTCCCTCTCCTGAATCAGCTCAGCCTTCCCGAGTGGGCTGCAGTTTCAGTTCCTCACCCGATTCTGTGTCTCCATACACAACATTAGCGTTATTCTCCAGAAATGAACTAAGAAGTATTTTGGTTCCCAAGAATTCTTAGTGCTTTATAAGCCAAAATGCAACTTCTCTGCTAGGATTACCCATTAAGAAGGAAGTCTTTCCTAGCCCTGCTGATTGCTAAGTTCCCTCCTCCACCCCCATCTCTATCATGCTGCATCCACTTTGTATACACTTATTTAACAGGATGGGAAGCTAGGAAGCTATCTACAGTGGATAGAGTGCTCGGCCTGGAGTCAGAAAGACTCATCTTCCTGAATTCAAATCCTGACTCAGATCCTCACTACCTGTGTGACCCTGGGCAAGTCACTTAACCCTGTCTGCTTCAGGTCCTATCTGTAAAAATGAGCTGGAGGAGGAAATGGCAAACCATTCCAGTATATTTGCCAAGAAAACCCCAAAATGAGCTCACAAAGAGTTGAACACAACTGAACAACAACAATTTAACAGGAAGCTGGGGGCAATTCCTCAGGGGATCGATTAAGGTGGGGGAGTTGGGAAATGATGGTGCTTCTGTCCACCAGTGAACATTGTCTCCAGCTTCCTGATACACATGTTGGCTCCTCCAATAGAATGCATGTAGGCTGTCTGAGGGCTGGTACTGTTTTACTTTTTGCTTTTCAGCTCTAGTTGCAAGCCCAACGTCTAACCCATAGTAGTCACTCAGTCAGTGCTTTTCATGGACAGATTGATAGGCTCCCTATTGGGAATGGGAGAAATATTGAAGCACATAGAGACTTACTTGTTGTATTTGTAGAAGACATGGATGTAGTAAGATAGCATATACCTTAGCAGATAGAATTAGGATCCAAAGAGATCTTTGCAGTCTTAGAATAGTGGGCTGAAAAGAATAGGATGAAATCTAATGGAGATACATATGAAATCCTACACTTGGATTAAAAAAATCACCTTGGCAAGTATGAGATGGGCAAGGGATAGCTAGACAATCGACAATCATTCAATGTAAAGATTATCCAGCATGGGTTCTTAGTTCTTTATCATTTTTTTGTGGGAAAGTCTGGGGAATCCTGTGGACCCCTTCCTTCTCAAAATAAAGTGCATGGAATTGCCAATGAAACCAATCATAATGAAATGTGGTTATCAAAATATTAAAAAAAAAAAGTTCATGAACCCCAGAGTTAAGCATCCCTGATGTTGGGATTTCAGTGGACCACAAGCTCAGTGCGAGTCACCTCAGCAAAATGGCAGCCAAGAAAGCCAATGTGATTTTAGACTGAATTTAGGACAGCATAATGTCCAGAACGTAGGAAATTCCATTACACGCTGTCCTGTTCAGATCATGTCTAGAGCATTGTGCATCATTCTGGATGCCACATTTTAGAAAGAACAACAGTAAGCTAGAGGGTGATCTGGAAGGCAGCTTGGTACGGTTGTCAGACCATCTTCCTGCTTCCACACCCTACTCTTGCCTCTGACCAAGTACTCCAGCTCTTAACCTTGGAGCCTTGTGCTCCTGATTGGTAAGGGTTTATCTCGGTCCCTCCGCACTAGATCCTCTTCTATACCCTTCCGTGATGCCGTCCTCCTTCTTTGTTTGCACCCTCCCTGCTTTCCACTACTTGCCAGGGGGTCAGTAATCAAATCAGTACTGCCATTCCTGGAAAGAACATTTCATCAATTGTCCTCTGACCCCACTCACTATCTTTGCAACTTTCTAGAACAAACACTCTTCCCCACCTTAGCCTCCACTCCCCTGTATTGTGGTCTTCCTCACAGAGGGTAAGCTCTTTGAAGTCAGGAACTGCCTTGCTTTTTGTCTTTCTATCCGTAGCTCTTAGCGCAGTGTTTGGCACATAATAAGTGCTTAGTGAATGCTTTCTCATTTATTGACTCATTTATCAACGTAGGTTCTAACCTTTCCTTTGGCACTTACTACCATTGTGACCTTGTCAGCCCTAGATCTCAGCTTCCTCACCGTAAGATGAAGGGGGTTGGCCTCTGAGTTTCCTTCCAGCTCTGCATCTACAATTGTATGAACCTGTTGTTGTTGTTGTTTGTCCTTTGTTCTCGAAGAGGACCAATGACATAGTGAGGATGATGTCTTGATTTGCAAGTGAATAGAATTTAAGTGAGGTAGAACTGTGCAAAGTCACCAGCCTCACACTCTCCTGAGTCCAGCAGTGAGACATAGGTCAGGATGACTGGAGATGGCCCCCGATGCAGTGAGAGACCTTGGCCTTTTTTTTTTTCCGTGAGGCAATTTTGTTTATTAATTTTTTTTTATCTTTTATTTTTAGGCAACTGGGGTTAAGTGACTTGTCCAGGGTCACACAGCTAGTAAGTGTCAAGTATTTGGTCTGAGGCTGGATTTGAATTCAGGTGCTCCGGACTCCAGGGTTGATGCTGTATCCACTGTGTCATCTAGCTGCCCCGACCTTGGCCTTTTTAAGCGAAGTTAGTTTGTCTCAGTTAGTCTGAGGAAACACCTATTCAGTTATTTAAGGCAGGTAAGAATTGAGGCAAAAGATGGCCTAGTTTGCCTTCACAAAAGAATCAGTCTTGAGAGGGGAAGACCCTCAGAGTTTCTGTTCAGAACAGAATCAATTGCTATTTACACTTACTCTGAGCCACCAAAACCTAATGACCACTTGAGGCTGGGGCTGGGACCTATTATTAGCCAATCGGTGAGAATCATTGTGGTTTAGAACCCATGATGATGGAAGGCATGAAGGCCAGGCCTTCGTGCTTGAAGACGCTGGGGAACGTTTGGCCTGGAAAGAGAAGACACAGTAGGGGGAGGCATAGTGGGTGTCTTGAAGTCTTTGAAAGGCTGCTATTTGGAAGGGCATTTGACTTCTGCTTGCAGGGCAAGGAGCAATGAATGGAAGATGAGAGGAGATAGAGCGAAGGTTTGGTTGAATAGAAAGAAACCCTCTCATTGTTAGGAAGTTAACTAGAAGTCTAATGGGCAGCCCGGGTAGTACATTCCCCTTCATATAGGTCTTTGACCCTGGGAGATATTGTAGTGGGGATTCTTGATCTGTGTTAGATTAGTTGGCAATCTAACCTTCTAGCCAAGATCCTGGAGATGGGTCAGTGGCACATCCTGGAGTGGCATTCCAGATGTTTGGTCAATAGGGCCTAGGTTCATAGCTGTATTACTGCAAGGGACCTCAGAGGACATCTAGTCCAGCCCCCTTGGTTTTTTTTTTAATTTATTTTTTAGTTTTCAACATTAACTTCCGTAAGATTTTGAGTTTTAAATTTTCTCCCCCTTCCTCTCCCCCGCACCCAAGGTGGCATGCAATCTGATATAGGCTCTACTTATACATTCCTATTGAGCATACTGTCCCGTTAGTCATGTTGTAAAGAAGAATTAGAACCAATGGGAGGAACCACGAGAATGAAGCAAGAAAGCAAAACAACAAAGGAAAAGGAGAACAAATAGCGTGCTTCCATCTGCATTCAGAATCCATAGTTCTTTTTCTGGATGTGGATAGCATTTTCCATCATGAGTCTTTTGGAGTTGTCTTAGATCCTTGCATTGCTGAGAAGAGCCAAGTCTGTCAAAGTCAGTCTTCACACAGTGTGGCTGTTACTGTGTACAGTGTTCTCCTGGTTCTGCTCATTTCACTCAGCATCAGTTCATATAAGTCTTTCCAGGTTTTTCTGAAGTCCACCTGCTCATCATTTCTTATAGCACAGTAGCATTCCATTACATTCATATACCACAACTTGTTCAGCCATTCCCCAATTGATGGGCATCCTCTCAATTTCCAATTCTTTGCCACCACAAAAAGAGCTTCTATAAATATTTTTGTGCATGTGGGTCCCTTTCCTGTTTTTATGATCTCTTTGGGATACAGCCCTAGAAATGGTATTGCTGGCAACCCCCTTGTTTTATGGATGAGAAAACTGGGACCCAGGGAGGCAACTTGCCCAAGATCCCGTAGGGAGTCAGTTTCACAGGGGGATTTGAACCCAGGTCTTTGACTCCAGAGCCAGACCTCTCCTACCATACCCTGCTACCTCTGCTGTGATTTTGAGTTGGTTTCCTGCCATGTTCTTCACTTCCAGTGAGAAGAGGGAGCAGATGGTCTACTCTGATAATACAAGAGGGTAGTGTGGTGGAAACAGGAGGATTCAGCTTTATCGCTTCCCTGGAGGTGGGGGTCGTGTGTGTAGGAGAATGGGGGAAGCCTTCACAGGGGTTGCAGCAGGGATTCCGGTGGCGATGCAACCTGACCCACCTGAAGAGCAGCTTTTTGTCTCCCTCCTTGTGGCACCACCCAGATTTAGCACCTGTGTCCCCCTGCAGCTGGGGGAATGGGGCCAGGAGAGGTCTGCTGGGCTGCTGCCTGCCTGAATAGTCAAGTTTGCATCTGAGCCCTTTTTCACGCTGCTTTACTCTAACCAGATTCTAAGGCTAGCGCGTGTTTCCTCATTTACCGTGTTTGTTTACAAAACAGGAGGAAGTTATCAGTCTCCCCCTCACGTGTATCTGAAGGCCTCCTTCAGTAGCACATCCCTGTTTTCCCTGGGGCTCCGAAGTATGATTGCTAATTCCCCCTGCCCTTTCCAGCTGATTGTCCCTCTGGGGAGGGGAGAGGAATGCTATTGCCTACTGGACTCTAAGACTTCTCTCCAAGGTCATTTCTTAGCTCATCATGGTGAAACCACTCAGGCCAGGGACCCTAGAAGGTATCTTTTATCTCTGTGGCCAAGGTCAAAGGGGAGGGAGAACCTAAGGAAATTCACCTATGCTAAGGGAAAACATCGGGAAGGTTGGTTGCCAGATGATATTGGTGTTGGCCTGGGAGTCAGGAAATTTGGGGTCCGTTTCCAGTTCTGCTGGAACTGACTCACGATGTGATTTTCAGGCCATCTGACTCATGCCCTGAGTCTCCTGGTGCTATGGTTGAAGCTTCCTTTAAAGAGGAGGTTCAGGTCCCCTGGGAAAACATTTTATGAAATTTCTCTTCAAATGCCTGATTTACTGACCGAGCCATTGGAGAAGCACCAGCACATCGGGTTCCTCATTGCAGGTTCTGGTGGGGCTTTCCACCATGTTCTCCCTCCAGGACACACTCCCCCAACCCAGTCCTCTGGCTAGATAAGGAGAGAAGTCTATCTTTCTTGAACAGAGACCCTCCTCGCCAATGGGTGGTCAGAGGTTGAGGAGTGCTGGTTCTCTCCAGTCCCTACTGAGCCCCAAGAAATGTTACCTGTTTGGGTAGGGCACCAGCAGGCGTCCTGGAGACCGCTGACCCCTGAACTTTGCCTCCAGCGTTCCTGCCGAACAGGAGGACCTGGGATAACCTCCGGGAGCGTAGTGTGTACGCTTTGTTTTTGTTTTGTTTTCAAGTATGCTCTTGCTTAAGGTTTAATTGGCTCCAGTCAGTAGGAAAGGGCTCCAAGAGGGATTATTTATGGCTTACTGTCAAGAATAGCTATAAAAAGGGCAGGACTGAGCTGGAGATGCTGGGAAGGGAAAGCAGGGGGAGTGGGAGGGTGCACAAGTGTGTGTGTGTGTGTGTGTGTGTGTGTGTGTGTGTGTTTGCACTGGATGAAATCAGATTTTTGCTGCCTCAGCAGTGTGGTTTAAATTGAAGATTAACCCTTTGACCTTCACAGTGTCAAATCACTTGCAGATGGAGACTCCCTCCCCTCTCCCTCCCCACTCCCTTGTTCTCTGTGTTACTTTGGGGGGAAAAGGGGCACTTTTTTTCCCTTTCTTTCTGAAAAAAGTTTGTTGTTAGTGCAGCTGGGGTTTGAGAGGCTCAGGAGCCAATCTGATTAAAAACAGCTCTTGGCTAAACTCTGTAAAATCTTGCAAGCAGGAGGGGGAAAGAAGTTTAATCCTCTTGTGCACAATGCCTAAAGAGTCTGGTCTTTTCTTTTTAATGTTAGAAAGACAATTGTTTTTGGAGAACTTAACTTTCTCTTCTCCATCACCCTTTTTTCTCCCCTCCTTTTTTCAGCTTGCTGTGCTGATAGGATTAAAGTGCCTGCCCCATGAAATGTGGAACTGAACTTTTATTGGAGTTGATAAGGAGTCTGTGTGGGACTTAGATGGACCTTTTTTTTGTCTTCCAGCACCAGCAGAACCGAAACCATGTGTGGTGGCAGATCCTCCTCTTTCTTCACAATTTGGCCTTGAACAGAGAGGAGAACAGGAATGGGGCAGGCCCTAGGTGAGACGTTGCTGCGCCTCTCTGTGTGTGGACCACTGGGAGACCCCCACTTCCACTCCTACTCCTGGAGCAGGACATCTGGCAGAACTCCAGGAAAACTGGCACTGTGTCTTGTGAAGTTTTTTTTATTATTATTATTATTTTGAAAATTTTTTGTTTGTTTGTTTCTGGGGTTTTGTTTGTTTTACTATCTTTATGTATATAAGACCAATTCAACAAGGGACATTTGCTCTGCTCCCAGCCGTCTCCCAGGCTGGGAAGCCTTGGTCAAACACTGTCGAAGGAATGACTGGTATATCTCTGTTGATGAGACCTTCTGCTGGCTCCTGGCAAATGGACCTTTGAGGCAGCAGGTGTTGAAGATGACCATCAATTAGTCCTTTCTGGGAAGGAAGACATCTTCCCAAGGACAGTGCTAACTAAGGAAGAGGGAGTTGGGTTGGGCTCCTCCCACTTCACAAGAACCAGTTCTTCTCCGTGGCTGATGTTTGGCATAGATTCTAATGCCCAAGCTTGGAGACTGAGTTTGTGTGAGGGAAAACAAACCAGATGTGCTGACATCAGTCCTGTGTTGGTCACCTTACCCAGCTTCTCCCATGGTCCCCTTTTCCAGCAACTCTTTATAGCAGATTGTGGCTGTGAATTCCTTCCCCTCAGAGTGAAGAGAAGATAGGTTTGAGCCCAATACAGATCAGTGATGGGTGGTAGCATTGTTCTGACCACTATCATTTGAGCATAATGGAAATTTACTCAAAAGGGCTTCCGTCTTGGATATACAGCCATCAAGGACTAAAGGGTTAGCAAGTTCAGCAGTCACTTAATTGGTTACAAATCCAGGTTCAACCCTGACCAGTGGCAGCCCCAGAGGATGTGATCCCATGGAGAGCTGCCTCAAGATCTCTAGCATCCATCCCAAGGACTGTGGGTGGGTGGGTAAGGCCACTCTGGCATTCCCAGGGATTGCATTGGGTCCACAGCTACATGAGGCCTGCTCTAGAGTGAACCAAACTTACAAGCAGGCTCTGGATCTGGCAGTGACCCAGAATTGATGAGCATTTTCTTCTAGGAACTAGAAGTCACTCAAAAGTAAATTGACCCTCTTCTTGAAATAAGTGGAGTCAGCTTGTTACATCAGCTTCCATAGTAGGAAAGGGGGAGGTGGAGGGCTGCCCACTTCTTTTTGGAAAGCCACTCTATGGGTAAAGGAGAACCCTGGTTTAAAATTCTTGGTTATGTGGGGCACTAGACAAGTGACCATTTCCCCATTTATTGGTGGGAAAGAAGTATCAGGCCCTGAGGAAGATGAAATTTCTGGTTTATAGGGAATTCCACTATCCTCCTTTGTACCTCATGCTCAGTGGGAAAAAGCAAGGCATAAGGGGTGCGGGTGGTTAGTGGCTTTTATTTGCTGGACTATGGTTTTTATATTTTTTTGTTTTTTATGGAACAAAAGATGAAGCAGGGTCCGCGCCTGGGTTTCAGGTGTCTCCTTGTTTCTCCATCTTCCCCTGAGTATAACTCTTCTGCACTTGTCTGTCTGTTTTTCTCCCCGCCCCTACCAAAGAAAACAGTCAGAATAGCCGCCTGGCATCTCTTGAGTGAGGTCTGGTCTGAAGAGGGAACAGGAAACACATTAATCAACCATCTCAAATTTAAATTATACTTTGGGAGAAAAAATCTCCAAGAAGGGATACAATTTGGTGCTAAAGGAACTTGGTTCGTGGAAGAAGATGTTCTGCCTGGGCAGAGAAGGCTCCCATCAGAAATGGAAGATGGGCTGGTATCTGTCTCTTCTTTCAGCACCAGATCGCCCTCAGGACTAGTGGGGTTGAGGGAGACGTTGGGTGGTGTCAATTAACTCTTTGACCAGAGGGAGTCAGTCTGTGGGGCTGCTGACTTGGTGCTTTTGTCGAGCCTGAGACTAGGAGGCCTCGCTGGTTTTAGCTCCCTTCTGCTTGGATTCCATGGTGTTTTATCCCAAGGCCTCCCCTACTATAACCTGGAATCTCATCTCAGGGTACAAACTGTATTTTTTTGGCTAAGAAAGTTAGCTTGTGATGAACAAAGAAAAGTCTCCCAGGGAACTGGAGCTGGGATGCAGGGCTTATAAACGTGCATCTCCCAAATGGCCTTTGGGAAGGGTTCCTTTCACCTGCCCATCTTTTGACCAATACCGTTCTTCCCCTCAATGTTCCCACTGGGATTCTGGCATCCTTTCCAGAGTGTGTTATGGATGTATGTGCATCTTCTTCCTTCTGCGAATCAAGCCTAAGATACTGAGTGCTCTGACTCCAGCTGTTACAAACGATCTAGGTAACTAGGAGTTTGCCAGCCTACTCCTACACTTCCATGCTGGAGTTTATTTCTCATTTTCATCCAGGGCCCTTGAAGCTGGGCTTTGATGGTGAAATCTTTACTCTTCTGTCTTGCAAAAGCTTTCCCTTTCTCCTTTTCCCTCCTCAACTCTATCCCATGTATGTGGGATCAGTGCTTGGTTTCTTGTGGTTTTTCTCTCAAGCTGAACCATAGAGTCCTTGTGACTGGGGCAGGGGCTGCTCACGCCACAGCAGGCGATCCCACCCCCCACTACTCCAACTCTTCACCTACTGACTCATTGAATTCACCCTACCCATCCCACCCTCCTTTACAGCCTCCCTTCCCTCTCTCCCCTCAAAATTGCTAACCGATGTGAGGTCAGGAACTGAGTGTGTCCTCAGACAAGCCTGGGCAAAATTTTAAACCTAAATGGAGGAGACTGGGAGAGGGGGGAAAGGGTTGATTTTGTATTGTTTAGGAATCTATCCCCTGCTTTCCCCACCTCCCACCGCATGAAAAGGCTGGAATGGTTCCTCGGTCTGGCCTCTGAGACACTCCCTCCCCCCAGTAGCCTGGCTGCCTCTTGGGGTGGGGAGGTGGATGGGGAGCAGGCCAGAGAAGTGACCTGTAACCAGCTGAAGACTGGAGTGGGGTAGTGAGGGGAGGACAAAGCCATATTATTCATCCTAGAATTTCTCTTGGGAGTCCCCTTGTCTGACTCAGGAGCTTGGTGTCCCAGAATTAGGGGTCTGTAGCTGCTGGAGCGGATCAGCCAAAGATGGGAGCAGGACGGTTTGTGTAACTGCCTGGGGCCAAACCCTGGGACTCCTTTTCTCAGTGGAGTTGGTTGGATTTGAAAAGGAAGGGGGAGGGGGTATCTGAGACATACTCTCCTCCTCCTCCCCCTCCCCCGTAGAGTTGAGAAGCAGAAATAAGTGTCTGTGTGAGCCTCCCACTCTTGGGTCCCTAGGGAGTTGACCTCTCTACAGCCTTCTACTCTTGCTCAATCCAAAGTGGAAAAAAATCACCTCCCAGTGACCTACAAACCAGTCCCCTAGGGGTGAGTATTTGTGTTCAGAGCAGACAACTGTGGCTTCTAAGCACTGGGAGGACTTAGTGCAACCCAACTGGCCTGTTGCAGACATCAGGACTCTTCTCCCGGCCCCATCACACTGAATGCACTGGAATATGTGTGTGCTTTCTGTATGTATGTGTGTATGTGTGTATGCATATATGCGAGAAAAGGACACAGACAGAAATGGTGCTCCTGCCAGCTGTCGGGAAGGATCTGATCCTTCACTGTGGCTCCTTTCTGGGAAGTGAGAACTGGGGAAACCATTTCTATGCCTTTCATTTCATGAGATTTCCTGCCTTTAGGGGGAAGTTGGCTTTTTTTTTTTTTTTAATGGGGAAAAGAGTAAGAGAAGAAGCGGGAATGTGATGGCTTAGGATACATGTGGGTGTCTAGTGTTTGCTGCAAATCATATGCTGGAAAGCCTCGTCCTGGAACTTCCCTGAGTCAGAGGCTTCTACTGGGAAGGACAGGGTGGATCCCAGTTCTTGGGAAGATAGGAGGTAGTTAGTGTGAATCCCCCCACCCCCGTCTCTCTGAGGGCCTTAAGGCCCTTTGCTCACTTGTGGGGACTGGAGGGATACCCAGGCACCAGGGTTGGCAGGAGGTGTTTAGGATCTGATGGGGGCTCCAACTCAGGCAGCTTCCCAGGGCCTTCCTTTGTGGATGTGACTGACGTCCTGACTTGCTTCTAATGCCGTGGTTTTGCTGCTTCCTGGACTGTTGTCAGTGCTGGGCAGAGAAGGTTTTTCTAACTGGTGCTTGGCCCTTGGTGCTCAGTGCCCTCTGGAGATAGGGGGCCCCGGGGCATGCACTCCACACATTCTCTCTCCGCGGCTGGCAGACCTCATCTGCTTGAATTGAAGTGGCCCTGCTCTCAAAAGCTGGCCGGCTGGCTGACCTCCTACCTTCTTCCCTCTCTCCCCTCCCCCTCAATCCACACCGACTGGGCTATTCCCAAGAGGCGTAGACCCCGTTTCTCTGCTGTGGATGGAGACCCAGTGAGAATGTAGCATTGTGTTTCCCCTGCTGACGTATTTCCAGGACTCTGCCCTTTGCCTCCTGGGACCTGGCAGGGAAAGAGGGAGGGAAGGAGAATTGGGGGAGGGGAAGAGGGAGGGGAATTGGGGAAAAGGAGTCTGTTTTGTATCTGTACAGTATACTGCCTTTATGTTCTTCACACGCATATATATGTGTATATATATGGAGTCTTTTTTTCAACTGGTACAATTTTTAATAAAATCATTTAAAGCAAAGATGTCCTCTCTTCTCTGTTCTGTTGTATGGGTGTTTTTTTTTTGTTTGGTTGTTTGTTTTTTAAGCAGCAGCAATGGTGTGATATGAGGGATAGCCAGGGTTACAAGGTCCATTCTCAGCTGCCTCTTTGTGTAACCTTTGGGAAGTTGGTATTGCCTTTGCCTTCTTGTCAGTGAAAACATTTCTGATTGTTTTTCGGTTCTGTGAAAAAACGAAACAACAACAACAACAAATACAGCACTTGCGGGGGAGGGGCAGGTGGTGGAGGCCTGGATTCTAGTCCAGGCCTTGATGCTAATTCACTGTGTGATCCTGGAGATGATACTTCAGTTGTGGACCTTCGTCTTCTCATCAGCAGAAGCTGTGTGGTACAGTTGGAAAAACAAGAGCTCTAAAGTCAGAGAACCTGGGTTCGAGTGACACCTCTGATACTCCTACCTGTGTGACCTTAGGGAAGCCACCTAACCTCAATGGGCCTCAGTTTCCTCACCTGTAAAATGAAGGTA